CCGCGCCGGCCCGAGTCGCGCCGGGCGGTGTGGCGAGCGCTCGCAGGCCGTGCAGGTCTGGCGCATGTGCTTCTCCACCTCCCGGAGCATGGGTGTGAGGGCCTCGCCACAGAGCACGAGCACCCACCCTGACATTGTGCCGCAAAGAATCGCGAGGAACGGGCGGCGGGTCTTGTCATACACGAGCCAGATGCCCGTCAGCCATGTCGTCAGCTCGATGAAGGATCGCAGCGTCTCCGTCTCCCAGTTCCGCACGGTGTGTTTCACGCGCCCAACTAGCACCTTGCCGGCTGTGCGGGTGGGAGGCCAGCCCGAGAGCAGCCGCCCAAGGAGAGTGAAGCAGACCGACGAAAAGAGAGCGAGGGCCATGTTGGTGTGATTGAGCGTCCAGCTTGTCGGGCCGATCTGGATCGCAAACTGCGGGCAACGGGCGGGATCCGGGTGAGCTCTAGGATGCCAATGCGCGACCCATTGGACGCGGCGCGCGAGCGAGCAAGCCGGGATGTGTTGGGGCTGCAAGGGCGAGCAGCCACCTGCACGGCGAGCAGAATCGCCAGGATGGTTGAGGCTGCCGAGAGCATCGGATGCTCCTGTAGCCCGCATTCGGACATTCCTGAGCTGCGGTGGGTCGCCCCGGAACACCTTGTTCGGCGGCAGCTGCGTGAATTCTTGAGATTCCGGAATGAACGAAAGAATTTCCTAGCTTACTCTTCGATCCCTCCCTGTTCTCTGTTTGTTCTTTGTCTTTCTGTAGGGCTTGCCCTCCGTGTTGGGGGCTGGGTGTGAAAAATGAAACGGGCGCAGTCCGCAGACAGGACGCGGCACGGAACGGGCACACAATAATTGCAGAGAGAGGTTAGGTTAGGTAGAGAGAAGCAGTAGGTAGGTAGGTAGTAAGGTGAAGAACAGCCAGGCTCGGACTGGACACCAACGCGGTATGGGTGGACGCTAGACAGATGATGACGACACGCACGAGCGACACACAGACACAAACAAGCTCACAAGACACACAGCCAGCTGGCTGCCACACACCCTGAGTCGGCGTACACATAACTCAGGGCCACATCCTCCCTGTCGCCCCCCCCAGCACTCCACGGTGCCAAGGGCACAAACAAGAAGCAAGAATCGGGAAGCCGACCCGCAAGGGATCCGAACCCAACAGTGGGTCCTCAGTGTGTCGGCGATTTGTAGCCTCGCACAGGGGGCCAAGATGGCCGAGGGCCGTCACACGCTCGTGATGGAGCTCATCGCGCTTCATCCGCGGGAGTACGCGCTCGTCAACTCTCGCGTGCTTGCGCTTTCGGCGGTGATCACCTCCGCGCTCGTCGCCCACTGCGTCACGCTTCTCAACGACAGCAGCGTCGAGCCGGCGACGCCGGCGACGCCGTGGCTGCGTGCGGCGTGCATGGTCCGCGTGCTCGCGGCGCTGCCGCGCCCCTTCGCCTGGTACCGCATCTATGTGCTGCACGCCGCGGCGCTCAAGCAGCCTGAGGTGCTGCGCGTGGCACACCGCTGCCTCGCCGCGCTGGAGGACCCGTTCGTGCGGCTCAACAATCGGCTGCGCACAGCGTACGTCACCTGGCTGGTCGCGATGCTCATCTGGCTCCTCTACTGCTGCATGCCGCACGGCGTTTTGCCCTGGCTCGCCAGCGCGCCCGAGCGCAAATTTTCGCCGTTTGAGAAGCGGCTGCAGTGGCACGTGCTGTGCTGCCTCGCGGCGATGCTGCTCACCAACCTGGGCTCGGCGGCGCTGATGCTCCTCCTCATCTCGCACGGCGACCACGAGCGCGTCGAGGCCTCGCAGCGCCTCGACAAGGCTGCGCCGGCGCAGGAGGTGAGTAGGGGCATGGAGGCGCGGCTCAGCGAGGACCCGTGCATCATCTGCTTTGGCGACCTGGC